TTTTTGCTTTCTTGGTAGTTTACTTTTTTGCTTTCTCACTAGTTTACCTTTTTGCTTTCTCACTAGTTTACCTTTTGTTTTCTTGCTAGTTTACCTTTTGTTTTCTTGCTAGTTTACCTTTTGTTTTCTTGCTAGTTTATCTTGTTTTTTGATAGTTTACCTTCAGTCTTTTTGATAGTTTACCTTTAGTTTTCTTGCTAGTTTACCTTCTGTATTTTTTCTAGTTTACCTTCTGTTTTTTCTAGTTTACCTTCTGTCATCTTGCTAGTTTACCTTCTGTCTTTGTTCTAGTTTACCTTCTATCATCTTGCTAGTTTACCATCCCTGCAGTTACTCATTATTTTAGCATCCTCATAGGTTCTATATATCTGTGTTTCTGCTAGTTTAACTAATATGTACATACTGCTGAGTTATCTTCCCTCTGCTTCTACTGATTTACTTTGTGAGTTGTTTGCTGCTAAAATTTATTCGTTGTGTTTCCTGCTGATTTGTATATTCTGCGTTATTTATTAGTTTTCCATTCGTTTTTTCCCTTCCTCGAAGGGAAGAAGTTTTCACTTCTTCCCTTCGAGTTGCTAGTATACTTTCTCTGTCCTCCCTGCTTGTTTAATGCCATCTGTGAACATCTATTTGATTACCTTGTCCGTGCTCCCTGATTGTTGACCTTGTCCGTGCTCCCTGATAGTTTACCTTGTCCGTACTCCCTGATTGTTGACCTTGTCCGTGCTCCCTGATTGTTGACCTTGTCCGTACTCCTTGATTGTTGACCTTGTCCGTGCTCCCTGATTGTTGACCTTGTCCGTGCTCCCTGATAGTTTACCTTGTCCGTACTCCCTGATTGTTGACCTTGTCCGTGCTCCCTGATTGTTGACCTTGTCCGTACTCCCTGATTGTTGACCTTGTCCGTACTCCTTGATTGTTGACCTTATCTGTGCTCCCTGATTGTTGACCTTGTGTGTGCTCCCTGATTGTTGACCTTGTCCGTGCTCCCTGATTGTTGACCTTGTCCATGCTCACTGATTGTTGACCTTGTGTGTGCTCCCTGATTGTTGACCTTGTCCGTGCTCCCTGATTGTTGACCTTGTCCATGCTCACTGATTGTTGACCTTGTCCATGCTCACTGATTGTTGACCTTGTCCATGCTGCCTGATAGTTTACCTTGTCCGTGCTTCCTGATTGTTGACCTTGTCCGTGCTCCCTGATTGTTGACCTTGTCCGTGCTCCCTGATTGTTGACCTTGTCTATGCTGCCTGATAGTTTACCTTGTCCGTGCTTCCTGATTGTTGACCTTGTCCGTGCTGCCTGATAGTTTACCTTGTCCGTGCTCCCTGATTGTTGACCTTGTCCGTGCTCCCTGATAGTGTACCTTGTCTGTGCTCCCTGATAGTTTACCTTATCCGTGCCCACTGATTGTTGACCTTGTCCGTGCTCCCTGATTGTTGACCTTGTCCTTTCTCCTTGATTGTTGACCTTGTCTGTGCTCCCTGATTGTTGACCTTGTCCGTACTCCCTGATTGTTGACCTTGTCCGTGCTCCCTGATTGTTGACCTTGTCCGTGCTTCCTGATAGTTTACCTAGTATGTACTTGCTGCTAGTCTGTATGTTCTGTGGTTCACTCCGGTTTACATAATATGTTCTTCATGCTAGTTTACCTTCTGTCTGCTATTTAAGTATACCTTGTGCTATTCCAGCTAGTTTACTTTGTCGTCGCTTGTGGTAGGTTCTGTGATTCCTCCAAATTTGACTGATTTTTTAATTATATTGTTCATATTCTTACTAGCTAGCTGTTCTATGCTCCCAGCACGTTTCATTTTGAGCCTTTAAATCGCTGTTTCTACTTTACCATTTCTGTATTCGTGATACTTTGCAGTTTCTTTACTGTTGCTAGTTTACCTTCTCTTTCATTCCTGTAATGTTACATTGTCTGCACTTCCGCTAGTTACTTATTTGTACTGTTCATTTGTCTTCTCTTCACTTGTGATAGTTTACAATGTCTTCACTGTTGCTAGTTTACCTTCTCTTTAATTCCTGATAGTTTAGGTTATTTACATACCTGTTAGTTTACCGTCTCAGTACTATTGCTAGTTTACCTTCTCTGTGCTCAGGCGCGGTTTTTATGATTATGTTAAAGTCTTTTCAATATGCGCCATGTGGAAATTTTCCACTATGTATACTAAATTGTTCATTTATTCAATAATTGTTCAATAATCAGTTTGAGGAGAGCGGTTGATTCTGGCCTCAGCTCTAAGGAGTCTTCGTCGCCCTGACTCCATTAAGGTTGACTCTCCTGTTGTGGTCCATGGTGCGTGTGGCTGTCTCTCCCTCGCTTCCATCTGGCCTCCATCTCTCCCTGTCCCTCCCTCCAATTCTTTCTCTTCATCTCCTCTCTTTTTCACTCTCTCACCTGCCTACCCTGCTTCCATTACTTTCTGGCTCTCTCACCAGCCCTCCTTCTCTCCCTCCCACCTGCCAGCCCTCCCTCCCGCCAGACAGGTCACCCTCCTCACAGTTACCCCTCACCGTGTCCAGGAGTCTCTCATTATCTCCTCACTGTACAAACATGGACGCTCACTATTATCCCTCTCCCCTCTCCTTACATCTTCCCCTTCACCATTATCTGCCCTCAGCTGTAATATCCCGATATCATCCTCATCAACCTCTCTCTCGCTTCATGCTCCATCATCATCATCATCATTATCATCATTTTACGGATCGAAGCAAAACATAAAATTATTTCCTAGGTAAACGTTCTTGAAAACTTTCTACAGTAAAACATGTTGTGGTTGACGCAGATTATGGCCGTCGTTTGTCTTAATTATTTAGTTGAAGACTTCTTCAGTAATCCGAGGCAATATTGGTGGGGAGAAGGAGCCAAGACCAGACCCGGCAACACTGGTCTTGATCTGGTGTCTTGACCTGGGGTCTTGATCTGGGGTCTTGACCTGGGGTCTTGACCTGGGGTCTTGACCTGGGGTCTTGACCTGGGGTCTTGACCTGGGGTCTTGACCTGGGGTCTTGATCTGGTGTCTTGATATAGGGTCTTGATCTAGGGTCTTGACCTTGGGTCTTGACCTGGGGTCTTGACCTGGGGTCTTGACCTGGGTCTTGACCTGGGGTCTTGACCTGGGGTCTTGACCTGGGGTCTTGACCTGGGGTCTTGACCCTCCCTGATTGTTGACCTTGTCCATGCTCACTGATTGTTGACCTTGTGTGTGCTCCCTGATTGTTGACCTTGTCCGTGCTCCCTGATTGTTGACCTTGTCCATGCTCACTGATTGTTGACCTTGTCCATGCTCACTGATTGTTGACCTTGTCCATGCTGCCTGATAGTTTACCTTGTCCGTGCTTCCTGATTGTTGACCTTGTCCGTGCTCCCTGATTGTTGACCTTGTCCGTGCTCCCTGATTGTTGACCTTGTTTGTGCTGCCTGATAGTTTACCTTGTCCGTGCTTCCTGATTGTTGACCTTGTCCGTGCTGCCTGATAGTTTACCTTGTCCGTGCTCCCTGATTGTTGACCTTGTCCGTGCTCCCTGATAGTGTACCTTGTCTGTGCTCCCTGATAGTTTACCTTATCCGTGCCCACTGATTGTTGACCTTGTCCGTGCTCCCTGATTGTTGACCTTGTCCTTTCTCCTTGATTGTTGACCTTGTCTGTGCTCCCTGATTGTTGACCTTGTCCGTACTCCCTGATTGTTGACCTTGTCCGTGCTCCCTGATTGTTGACCTTGTCCGTGCTTCCTGATAGTTTACCTAGTATGTACTTGCTGCTAGTCTGTATGTTCTGTGGTTCACTCCGGTTTACATAATATGTTCTTCATGCTAGTTTACCTTCTGTCTGCTATTTAAGTATACCTTGTGCTATTCCAGCTAGTTTACTTTGTCGTCGCTTGTGGTAGGTTCTGTGATTCCTCCAAATTTGACTGATTTTTTAATTATATTGTTCATATTCTTACTAGCTAGCTGTTCTATGCTCCCAGCACGTTTCATTTTGAGCCTTTAAATCGCTGTTTCTACTTTACCATTTCTGTATTCGTGATACTTTGCAGTTTCTTTACTGTTGCTAGTTTACCTTCTCTTTCATTCCTGTAATGTTACATTGTCTGCACTTCCGCTAGTTTACTTATTTGTACTGTTCATTTGTCTTCTCTTCACTTGTGATAGTTTACAATGTCTTCACTGTTGCTAGTTTACCTTCTCTTTAATTCCTGATAGTTTAGGTTATTTACATACCTGTTAGTTTACCGTCTCAGTACTATTGCTAGTTTACCTTCTCTGTGCTCAGGCGCGGTTTTTATGATTATGTTAAAGTCTTTTCAATATGCGCCATGTGGAAATTTTCCACTATGTATACTAAATTGTTCATTTATTCAATAATTGTTCAATAATCAGTTTGAGGAGAGCGGTTGATTCTGGCCTCAGCTCTAAGGAGTCTTCGTCGCCCTGACTCCATTAAGGTTGACTCTCCTGTTGTGGTCCATGGTGCGTGTGGCTGTCTCTCCCTCGCTTCCATCTGGCCTCCATCTCTCCCTGTCCCTCCCTCCAATTCTTTCTCTTCATCTCCTCTCTTTTTCACTCTCTCACCTGCCTACCCTGCTTCCATTACTTTCTGGCTCTCTCACCAGCCCTCCTTCTCTCCCTCCCACCTGCCAGCCCTCCCTCCCGCCAGACAGGTCACCCTCCTCACAGTTACCCCTCACCGTGTCCAGGAGTCTCTCATTATCTCCTCACTGTACAAACATGGACGCTCACTATTATCCCTCTCCCCTCCCCTCCTTACATCTTCCCCTTCACCATTATCTGCCCTCAGCTGTAATATCCCGATATCATCCTCATCAACCTCTCTCTCGCTTCATGCTCCATCATCATCATCATCATTATCATCATTTTACGGATCGAAGCAAAACATAAAATTATTTCCTAGGTAAACGTTCTTGAAAACTTTCTACAGTAAAACATGTTGTGGTTGACGCAGATTATGGCCGTCGTTTGTCTTAATTATTTAGTTGAAGACTTCTTCAGTAATCCGAGGCAATATTGGTGGGGAGAAGGAGCCAAGACCAGACCCGGCAACACTGGTCTTGATCTGGTGTCTTGACCTGGGGTCTTGATCTGGGGTCTTGACCTGGGGTCTTGACCTGGGGTCTTGACCTGGGGTCTTGACCTGGGGTCTTGACCTGGGGTCTTGACCTGGGGTCTTGATCTGGTGTCTTGATATAGGGTCTTGATCTAGGGTCTTGACCTTGGGTCTTGACCTGGGGTCTTGACCTGGGGTCTTGACCTGGGGTCTTGACCTGGGGTCTTGACCTGGGGTCTTGACCTGGGGTCTTGATCTGGGGTCTTGATCTGGTGTCTTGACCTGGGGTCTTGACCTGGGGTCTTGACCTGGGGTCTTGACCTGGGGTCTTGATCTGGTGTCTTGACCTGGGGTCTTGACCTGGGGTCTTGACCTGGGGTCTTGACCTTGGGTCTTGACCTGGGGTCTTGACCTGGTGTCTTGACCTGGGGTCTTGACCTGGGGTCTTGACCTGGTGTCTTGACCTGGGGTCTTGACCTGGGGTCTTGACCTGGGGTCTTGACCTGGGGTCTTGATCTGGTGTCTTGACCTGGGGTCTTGACCTGGGGTCTTGACCTGGGGTCTTGATCTGGGGTCTTGACCTGGGGTCTTGACCTGGGGTCTTGACCTGGGGTCTTGACCTGGGGTCTTGACCTGGGGTCTTGATCTGGTGTCTTGACCTGGGGTCTTGACCTGGGGTCTTGACCTGGGGTCTTGACCTTGGGTCTTGACCTGGGGTCTTGACCTGGTGTCTTGACCTGGTGTCTTGACCTGGGGTCTTGACCTGGGGTCTTGACCTGGGGTCTTGACCTGGGGTCTTGACATGGGGTCTTGACCTAGGGTCTTGACCTGGGGTCTTGACATGTGATCTTGACATGGGGTCTTGACATGGGGTCTTGACCTGGGGTCTTGACCTTGGGTCTTGACCTTGGGTCTTGACATGGGGTCTTGACCTGGGGTCATGACCTGGTGTCTTGACCTGGGGTCTTGACCTGGGGTCTTGACCTGGTGTCTTGACCTTGGGTCTTGACCTTGGGTCTTGACCTGGGGTCTTGACCTTGGGTCTTGACCTGGGGTCTTGACATGGGGTCTTGACATGGGGTCTTGACATGGGATCTTGACCTTGGGTCTTGACCTGGGGTCTTGATCTGGGGTCTTGACCTGGGGTCTTGACCTGGGGTCTTGATCTGGTGTCTTGATCTAGGGTCTTGACCTTGGGTCTTGACCTGGGGTCTTGACCTGGGGTCTTGATCTGGGGTCTTGACCTGGGGTCTTGACATGGGGTCTTGACCTGGGGTCTTGACCTGGGGTCTTGACCTGGGGTCTTGACATGGGATCTTGACCTTGGGTCTTGACCTGGGGTCTTGACCTGGGGTCTTGACGTGGGGTCTTGACGTGGGCGAGGCGGTCGTCGGGGCCATCAGGGAAGGAACACACACACGTCCCGGAGGTTTCCAAGACATGGCCAGGGAGCCTCAGAAGATAAAATAAGGGAAGTTACGGAGAGTATGAGAGAAGGTCCAGGAGGAGGAGGAAGAGGAAGAGGAAGAGACGTGAGGCAAAGCAAAATTGTGGAAAGGAGGGGAGAGGGAGAGAGAGGAGAGGTGGAGTGAGACATGAGAAAGATTAATGAGCAAGGTAATGACAGAGTTGAGATAAATAGAAATAGCTCACGTGCACGCTCTTGTGCACATGCGAGGGCACAATTTGCGATCACAATTCCCGACTCCTGTGCATATGCAACAGCTCTTTAACATGCAACGTTGAGTCAGCAGTTGAGAAACTGAGAGAACACTCTCTCACACGTATACTTATTAATATACATTGGCCAGCATAACTGATGTAATTATTTATAAGTCTAACTAACTACACTTGACGAAACACATTGGTTTGTGTGATCGCCTTATGGTCCTGTTTTGGATAACATTATACAGAAGGAGTGATCGTTCATCAAAAACGATCCAGAAGCAAAAATAAGAAAAGTAGTACAGTGGGATAAACCTGGTAGATAAGTAGATAAGAAGAGCTTATCACTCTCTTTGTGACTATGACTCTGACCAAACAGCTTCACTTGTCTGGTCTTGCACCAGGACACACGTGAGGGACACCGCCTGCATGGAACAGCTTCACTTGTCTGGTCTTGCACCAGGACACACGTGAGGGACACCTCCTGCATGGAACAGCTTCACTTGTCTGGTCATGAACCAGGACACACGTGAGGGACACCTCCTGCATGGAACAGCTTCACTTGTCTGGTCATGAACCAGGACACACGTGAGGGGACACCGCCTGCATGGAACAGCTTCACTTGTCTGGTCATGAACCAGGACACACGTGAGGGACACCGCCTGCATGGAACAGCTTCACTTTATAGGTCTAATAACATTACAACTCCATCTGTTAAAGATATAATTGAATCACAAGCAGATAAGCAATATACGCTCGCAGACTCTTGGTAGGTATTGTAATACTTCTGGCAAGTCCCAGACAAAAGTGAGACTGGACAAACTCTACATACTACAGAGAACAAAGTGTAGAAGACTATTGTCTCATCTCGGCACAGGCGGAGCAACTAGTGTACATTGTTCAGGGAACAAAGCCAGTATGAGGATGCAGAAGACTATTGCCTCATCACTGTAGAAGGGGAACAAGGAGAGAGGAAAAGTGTGGAGGTTTGCCCTATAACGTGGCGATGATGGGCTGGCTGGCTGCTCTTCTCACCGTGTTTATACACCATTATCCCGGGGATCTCATTATGCTAAAAGCGTTCCGGCGACTCCACGACCTGCTGATGAGAACGCTGTTGCTACTGCCGCCGTCAGCTTCTGCTGCTACTGCCGCCGTCAGCTTCTGCTGCTGCTGCCGCCGTCAGCTTCTGCTGCTACTGCTGTCGTCAGCTTCTCCTGCTACTGCTGTCTTCAGCTTCTGTTGCTACTGCCGGCGTCAGCTTCTGCTGCTACTGCTGCCGTCAGCTTCTGCTGCTACTGCCGCCGTCAGCTTCTGCTGCTACTGCTGTCGTCAGCTTCTGTTGCTACTGCCGCCGTCAGCTTCTGCTGCTGCCGCCGTCAGCTTCTGCTGCTGCCGCCGTCAGCTTCTGCCGATACTGCAGCCGTCAACATCCGCTATAACCATAATATATCAGGATGCGAAAATGGCTAATATGAAAGAACAAGATATTCATACATGCTTTAAATTATTGCTGGTATTACATCCATTAGTGAATATATATATAATATATATATATATATATATAATAAGATATATATATATATATATATATATATATATATATATATATATATATATATATATATATATATATTGGATAACGTAGATGTAAGATTACGTTAAGAGTTAGATAGCGATAAATGGGTCATTGGGAGTGATTCGTCGAACTGTGAACTATATATATAATATGAAGATGGCCCGCGTATGGACTGATAGATTGACCCCATTTCCCTCTGGTCTATTGGCTATTAACAGATCACTAGCCCAAAATAATGGAGCAGTGATGTATATATTTGATAAAACCCTATTTAAAGTCTATATTCTCGGGCAGAGCCAAAAATCATTAACTATGGACCAACCCTGGGAGTTAGTGATCCCTGAGAAGTTATATATGTCCATTATTGATATGGAAGCTATATCTGGAGATTATACCTTAAACTCATTATATTTTAATAATATTGCATTGAGTAACGTATATATTTCAGTGAATGGTACTAGTTTATTTAATATAGTGTGTGATTTTCCCCATAAATGTTCAAAATTATATTAAACGGTCTTGAAAGCTTTAGGATTTAATGAAGATAATATTTTATCCTAAGATTCATTCGTTATAGGACGAACACTGCTGGCCTTTAATATATTATTAGAAGAAATAAAGGGCACAGTTTCCTTAGAAGCTATAGAGAATTTAAGAATCACATTGCAATTTAATACAGCCATTGTGGGAAATAAAGTTGTACTACTGTTTGACCCTACTACTGGGGCTATGAAAATTAATGCTGACCGACGTTTTATTTGTGAAACACGAGGATAAGTAACATGAATTGTTTGGAAATAAACAATATTTTGAACAATTTCGTTTAGGGGAAGAAGCCATAAATTCGAATGTTAATTAGCCAACGATGTACGGAGAATCTTTAAGAAATTGAATAAGGATCCAGTGGTATTTACTTTAAAAAATTAGATGAAAAATCATGTGTATCGATGATGTGTCATTGGACTAATGTATATGTACATAATAAACCTTCAGGAGCTATAATTACCCTGTTAGACAATCTTGGGGTGAAGATGGAATTTCATTCGCATTATCTGCAAGAATTTAATTTCAATCTTATTTTGAAGAATATAAAGAATAAATGATCAGAAAACGCATACAGAGTATGGACTTCTATTTTTGTGGAGCTTATGCTATGTTTTTCGTCTACAATTTATGTCGCCTGAAAATAAGAGCTGCATTACACAAATTTGTAGCTTTATTTAAATATGGCGAATATAATATGACCGACAGAAAGATAATTCGATGTGCATATGTCAATTTTTGAAATGCCTAACTTCAAAAAGAATTTTGCATACATGGACAGGGAAAAATGTCTATCACTGTGAGATGATAACTCATAATACTAGCTGGTAAGTATTGCATTTTCAATGTTTGCTATATCGACATTAGAATTATTACTAAATTATTATCACTATTGTTATTCTGTGTTATATATTGTTATATTGTTATATATATATATATATATATATATATATATATATATATATATATATATATATATATATATATATATATATGTCGTATCTAGTAGCCAGAATGCACTTCTCAGCCTACTATGCAAGGCCCGATTTGCCTATTAAGCCAAGTTTTCCTGAATTAATATATTTTCTCTAAATTTTTTCTTATGAAATGATAAAGCTACCCATTTCAATATGTAGAGGTAAATTTTTTTTTATTGGAGTTAAAATTAATGTAGATATATGACCGAACCTAACCAACCCTACCTAACCTAACCTAACCTATCTTTATAGGTTAGGTTAGGTTAGGTAGCCGAAAAAGTTAGGTTAGGTTAGGTAGGTTAGGTAGTCAAAAAACAATTAATTCATGAAAACTTGGCTTATTAGGCAATTCGGGCCTTGCATAGTAGGCTAAGAAGTGCATTCTGGCTACTAGGTACGACATATATATATATATATATATATATATATATATATATATATATATATATATATATATATATATATATATATATGTCGTACCTAGTAGCCAGAACTCACTTCTCAGCCTACTATTCAAGGCCCGATTTGCCTAATAAGCCAAGTTTTCCTGAATTAATATATTTACTATAATTTTTTTCTTATGAAATGATAAAGCAACCCTTTTCTCTATGTATGAGGTCAATTTTTTTTTATTGGAGTTAAAATTAACGTAGATATATGACCGAACCTAACCAACCCTACCTAACCTAACCTAACCTATATTTATAGGTAAGGTTAGGTTAGGTAGCCAAAAAAAGCTAGGTTAGGTTAGGTTAGGTAGGTTAGGTAGACGAAAAAACATTAATTCATGAAAACTTGGCTTATTAGGCAAATCGGGCCTTGAATAGTAGGCTGAGAAGTGCGTTCTGGCTATTAGGTACGACATATATATATATATATATATATATATATATATATATATATATATATATATATATATATATATATATATATATATATATATTAGTATATTTGGTAGCAGTCTTTCCTGTAGACATATATTATTAAATATGACCGAAAAAGTAAGATTAATAATTCTAACACGAATTTTCTCAATCTTTCGTACATTTCGCTTCACTGTTGGAGGTAAATCAAAAATCAATTCTCCAAAATTCCTTTTTATTTCTAGTCTGACGCGACACGAGCGCGTTTCGTAAAACTTATTACATTTTCAAAGA